TATTACACTACATCTATCCCAACTGATATACGTGTCCTTGCAAAAATGTTGATGACGTCATCGCAATTTTTTTTTAAATTCCCACTACAAAAATGTAATGAGAAAAAAAACACAATAGGCATGCAGTCGTCAAGTTTCCGACAGCGAGGGAAGTACTGTCTAAACTCTTTAGACCAATTTTTTTTTTAATGTGGCGGCTTTATTTTCGGTTTTCTTATTTTCCATCAAATAGAACTGCTAGTTACAGATGATGACTTCCTCAAAAATACTATTTGATGTACTTGGAATTCCTTCAATCATTAGAGGATTTTTTTTGTTTACTAAAGTTCGTGTCGGTAGTTTCCGTTTGTTTTTTTTAATTTTTGTTAGGTAGCTGGGGGAAAAATTGTGGGTACCGAGTTATGTTTCAATTTTGGATTAACATACGGAATCACTACCTATTAAAACAAACTTAGTGATGAAACTGCTAGGTGCCACAAATAACAATAAAGGTGGATTTATACACATCAATTTAGCATTGAAGATTTAATTTAGTCTAAAATTTACTGTATCAGTACGACTTTAGATAAAAAAAAATAACTTAAAATTCACCAATAATACAAAACCCTCAATTTTCACGTGCGTTCTCTTCAAAAAAATATAAAAAATATTCGTTAAATTATATTTTAAATGTTATATTGGTTTGCATAAATTCACCCTAAGACATTGTTCATGAACTCACCGAGCCTGATTGCCATTCTCTCAAGATACAATCCGATGTGAAATGTTTCTCACATAAAACATCTCGAACTGACAATTGCCTATCAGCCCGGGGAATATTATGTGGTCATTTCTTTAATAATTCTGGATCTTTAGGGGCAAGAAACAAACTACATTTTTCGTTATTACTTTTGTAGCCACTTCTACAGTTTGGTGCGAAACATCTATTGTTTTTGGGGCTCATCTTCAAAATATAACCTATAAAAATCGGACTGTACTCATCATTTGCGTTGACTACTCACGTTACACTATATGCTGTTAGCTTTGTATATGATAACTATTGTTTATATGGTTAGATAGCAGCTCAACAATCGTTTTTTTCATAAAAATTAACACAAATACACGTACCAACTACGTTAAAGTCGGGTGCCGCTGTACCACTAGCGCCGCGGAAACTCAGCGGCACAATGTGAACTACGTAGTCCCTTCTCCTATTTATTTATCCTCCTAGGCACTTTACACCTTTGATTATATTATATATATTATAATCAAAGTTTCACACTGCGAGTCTGTTCTGTACTGCGAGTTGTCAAGTTCAAATATCGTGCGAAATTGTAGGTTAGATATTTTGATTGACTCAGTTTGAGGTTAGCCGTTTCTATGTTTAGCCGGGAGCACGGTTGTAGAATAGATAGGTTTGTACACTAATGGCTTGGGATGGCGACGCTTTTTTTCGATCCCTATATCCATGGAAAGGACACAGACAGCTAGCGCCTCTACCTTGTCGAGCGGAAATCGTTCTAGTTATTTTAGGGATTTTGGTTTACATTGCTTTATGAACAATACAAAATTTGTAAATGACATTTGATCGGAGTCGATAAATACGATTTCTTTTATTAATTACATCGGTTATAGACAGATGCCTATAGAGTTCTGTGTCCCTAAAACGTCAAAAACCAGGCGACGCGATCGGCAATTGGCGTCGCTGACCAGGGATATGCAAATGTATGCTAGTGTATCAACCTATCTATTCTACAACCGTGGCCGGGAGTTATTCCGTTCTGCGTTTGCGCAGTTTAACAATTCTTACAGAGTTCACTTTGTCCACTGTGAACGTAAATAAGCATAAGCCAGACACAAACCAAAAACGTAAATTATGTTATGCGCTAGTTCTTTTCTTCGTAAAAATATTCAAGGATGCAAGAGGGGTATATTGAGGACTATTTCTCGAAGAACATTTCATAATTTTGTATTTATTTTAGTTAAGAATGACCACGCAATAAAGACAATCTAAATTAGTTGTCAAATTAAATTTTAAAATAAAGCCTGTGAAACTTGTCATATTAACAATCTCCGATAGTAACGCAAATAAACAAACAAAAATTGCAATTTATTTTGTGAATAAAATGAGTGAACTTTCTTGTGAGCGTTTTGGAAAAAAATCCTTAAAGGAAATTGACTCAAAACTTGGAGATCTAACTCCAGCAATTAGGAAGAAGTCATACCTACATTAGTCCGTGGAACTTGTTTGATGAATTCTGCAAGTTAAGAGACTATATTTTAAATGAGAGTACGTCTGTAGCAAGTTTGGCAAGAATCTTAAGGGATTCAACATGACTAAAAAAGACGGGGAAGATTATAAAGAAGGAGTAGTTAAGATATGGCATTTCTTTTGATCTATTTAAGGATATTGAATTTACGTCAGCAAGGCATGCTCGAGAGAGTAAACGAAAGGAGCTATACAATGTTCAAGTGAAAAACGGAAGACTATTGCTGCAAGTTTCAACGTAGAAGAGCATAAAAAATAGTTGTCTTATGGGACGAAAACACGCCTGAAGGTTTACAACGCAAATTTTACCACATTGCCTCATACGAACTGGCTTGGCGAGGGGAAGAGGCTGTAAACTGCCTTACCACTTTTTTTGAAGAAGAAATAGATAATTTTGGACAACCAACAGGACGTATTATTTACAACGCAGTATTTAGTAAGACATCGCAAGGAGGAGCTAGCCCGCTGACAAAGAAAATATTTCTAGTGACCAACACAATAAATCCGAATCCGGATCGATGCCCAGTCCGGTAAGTTTACTTTTTGCAATAATTTTTAATTAAATGTATGCGTTCTATAGATTATTTCACAAACTGATAGAAAAACGAAACAAGAATGTCACTACAAATCGTCTTTTTCTAACTCCTAATCCTTCGTGGAAGAAAGAAAATTCTGTTGGATTCTTCAAGAACTCGCCGATAGGAAAAAACATTATATCCAAATGGACTGTTTCTGCGGCAAAGGAGATAGGAATGGATGTAAAACGCATAAAAGTGACAAATCATTCCAACCGTTCCAGTGCCGTATCAAATTTGGCAAAAAGTGGTATTGGCGAACACCAAATAACGAAAATTACAGGTCACACCAGTGTAATGTGAGCTCAATCAATTGATACTTAAAACTGGATGAAGAACATCAAACCGAATTGATTTCAAGAATGAGAAATGAAAATTTGCCAAGCGAAGCTACAAGTAATAAAATTGCAACTAATAATTATTATAACTGTGCATTTCATTATTCGAATAAATAAACTTTTAAAATCATTTAGTCAATACTTATTTTTGTAGAATGTCAAAAATATTCACTATAAGCACACGAGCATAATGCATCGAATACACGGTCATATTCTTCCGTTGCTATGAGATTTTGGTAAGATGCGTTAATATGATTGGTTGAAATTTTCTGAGAGAAATAGTCCTCCACACTTTTACTAGTCAATAAGTCAATACACTACAATATATAATTCACTTTATATGACAAGATTAAATGCGCAATTTATTTCTCGAAAATTATTATTACCTATTCAAAAGTGTTTTGAGTATAAATGCATTGTAACGCGTCACCGCTAAAGAGCGCCCGTGAACCCACTTCCCTCGTCCGAGTCCACGAGTTCGCCTCCCTGGAAAAACGTTCTCTTCTCTCTCGGGCCGCGAACGCGTACAGTTCCATCACTTGAACAGCATCTAATAAAATTTTATTGGTATTTCAAAGTTAACCATGAAGGTTGGACCCACAATACCATAAATCACAAATTCAATGCAAACCTGGATGTTTCTAGCCTACTATACACTGGCGGCACGCCCCTTTTATTGGCGTCATTATCCCCGTGCATTGTCCGACAATCCCTCAAAGTAGCAGTTGTAAAATTTTACTAGGCACTGATGAAGTGTAGAAACTTTACAGTCGTGTGTAGAATATTATAACAAGTTGTAATTATAGTTAATACAGTTTTCTTTGAAAATGAGTTTGTTTCCTTTTTCTCGTCAACAAGAATAAAATATTGCGTAATAGCATTATTTTTATCATTACGTCCTAAAGCATCAATAATAGTAATTCTTTTAGCTACTTCGAGCAATGAAGATCCTGCTCAATACGTTTACCTAGAAATGTACTTAGGTCAGTTACCCAACTTATCTACAACACTAATTGGAGTGTGAAATTATTGCGTGAGTGTGAATAAAAGTGAACTTTTAATATTTATTATAATTTTTATAATTTGCTTAATATGTTTACTATGTAACGGATGTTCAATTGAAAAATTATTCAGAGTCGACGTTGGAATTCTATTCGACACAAACGACATGTCTATTCGTTTATAACGGGCACCTATATCAGCCGACAATCAAATCAGGTGCCAGCCCTAAGTAGATTTCAATGACTCAAAACTCATTTCTCCTTCGTTTTAGTAAATCTGGACCTCTGATGGTTCTTTTGCGCCATTTACCAAACCAAAAAAAAAGATATTTCCTATAATGCCCAATGTAGCTTAGAATGATTGTCCCGGAAACAGAATAATTATTGCTAAGAAGGTACCGACGAAGCACACTCTTAGAAAATCCTTAATACAGATAAAATTATTCTGGACACGGACGATCTAACAGAAACTTTTGCAAAATTAGTACTAACTAAATTTACAACGCAATATTCTTAGAAAAAATAACGAATCTGAGTACAGGTACTAACTGGTGTAGTACCTACATACCGCTGACCTTTCTCGGACCCTGCGAAAGGTACGCTGTAGTTTACATGTAGGGATGGAAATGGTTCCTCCCTCCGCTGCGGTTTACATTCGCGGCTTAGTTGTAACATGTAACATATAATAGTTTATGTTTTTGCCAAATGGATATTATAAGGGTAGATATGCTGTTAATATCAAATGAAATTCCAACGCTTGCACTGAGTGATTTTTCAGTTGAACACCCATTGTATGTTATATTTTACTCTGCATTACTTATGGAAAATATTTTTACAGGTTTGGGCAACCACATCCGATTTATATCAATTTAGTGCGTGACCCTGTTGAACGTGTAATTTCCTGGTATTACTATGTTCGAGCTCCATGGTATTATGTGGAGCGAAAATTAGCTTTCCCAGATATTCCACTTCCGGATCCTAAGTGGCTTAAAAAGGTATGTTTAAGATTTAAATAGCTGAATGATTTCGAAAAATAGATGTTTTCTTTTTCTTTCTAAAATTCTTGTGGAACATAACACTTTAGTAACTAATTATAGTAAAATGAACACATACTAGAAGAACTTATTGATTTACGGATTCAAATCAACGAAATATAGTTAAATGGATGTAAAAAATTATATGTACAAATTACACAAGTATATTTACATATTGAGTTCGGTTCCGTTTTACCTCATAAAATTTTGTGAACTTCCTTCGCCAATGGGGCCAATTGTGTTTAGCCACAACACCCGCAACTGATAATAATTTATTACAGTACAAAGTTGAACTTGTCTCGTTATTCAATTTCACCAGTAGATATTGAATTGAATGAAGATGGCAATGACAGAGATGTATAATTAAATTTGTAAATAGAGTTGCCTACTTTCACGTTATTTTCAACAAGCAAATATTTTGATAAATATAAATTTTAAACAAAAATGACCAGTTCTTCCCCATAGAGCTCAATGTTGTCTTTGCACTGATATACAAGTTGAAGCGAAAGATTCTTTCTCCTCGTCTAAAAATTGAATTTCCTTCGAAGAATGAACGATTAATTAAACACTAAACAATCACTTATGTTAAAAAATATTGTGTCTTCCCCAGAGATTTAGATATTAGATCAATTGAAATGTTGATCTTTTTTTCAAAGTTAAAACTACGCCCGTGCAATGAACTTCTATTTAGCTCATTTTTCGATCTGCTACTGAGCATCCTTAAGAGATTTCACAAATTTCCACAATTTCCTTCTAAATAACAAAATTCGAAATAAACTTATTCGAATCTTAGATTTGGTATTTTCTGACATTTATTGCACTGTAAATGATTATCACCTCGTTTATTAATATACATGTAATGTAATAAGAAGCCCATAATAGTATATTACATACCGAGGCGGGAAGTGCTTCATTGTTGGACCGAGACGCGTAGCGTCAAGGTCAACAACAAGCGTGAGACGGAAATGAAACACGTCCACCGAGTGTATGTATGTATACTATTTTATTCACAATCATTATAAATAAAAATAAATGGAAATAAAAATTCACTTCACTCATTTTATAATTAGACAGCAGGCGTTCCATATCAAAATTGACATTATAATTTGTCAAGTTTTTTGTTAAATTATTTGAAGCAAATACGCTAAATAAAATGTCTTCAGACTTATTACGGGCACCTGTAGCTTTATTTAGGTTGTTTTCCAACCATATACGGGGGAGAAGTGGGTGTTTATCTAAGGAACAATTTATTTGAAAATCAAACAATACTACAGAAATCAAGCCTTCACTGGCGTGGAGGTTCGCAAAAAATTTGCCGACCTCCGACGAGGTTCGTAAACATGACAAACAATTTGCTCACTTTCAAACTTCAAAAAAGTTGGCAAATGACAATCATATTACATCCCGATTGTAAATAATAGTATATTATTAGCCAAGGTTGCAGAGCCAAGCATTCTAGACCGAGCGCAAATTAGAACCCGAGACGCGAGGTCTAGAAGTGGCTTTGCAACCGTGGTTAATATACTATTTTTTTCACTAGTACAAACCATAAGACAATAAACTGAAAAAATAAACGTTAAATTTTTTGACGCAACATGATTTTGTTTTGATTTCTAATCAAACTTAATCTAAATCTTCAACACAAAGAAAACCGTTTATACTTGTCGCTGAGTTAATCATTTTATCTTCTACCGTCTACCAACTACCAGGCGTATACTCAAGTAATGTTTGTAGCACATATTTGTTCATTTTTTAAGAAATAATCACATCAAACATTGCGTACATAACCTCAATTTTTCTTTTTGAACCGGTGGTCGCAAAAGTTGAATTTACTACCCCTAAATGAGTCGACATTTGCATGCGTCATGGCTGCTAGTGAAAAATAGTATATTGTTTTATAAGGAGCAAAAATGAGACTTTTCGTGGCGAATCTGTAGGTTTGACGGCCGAGCGCGCGAGGCCGGCAATTACAGATGAGCCACGAAAAGTCATTTTTCTCCGTATAAAACATGCTATTTTTTCTTCAAACGTGAAACTGGATCCAATTTATTGGACATGAAAATGTTGAAATCTAAGAAATTGTGACAAAAATCACTTAGAACTGATTCTTAAAGCACTAATACGATAACCAACTTGTATTCTAAGGTCTAAAACATTCAGACACTTGATCATAAATCATAATCACCAAACAGGTAGGTACCTACCCCTCACTTTTTCTGCCGCTGATGACCGGCAGAAAAAATGCGAAAACAGCCTAGGCAGAAAAATTGGAGTCACTATACTCTATCACTGTGTGATTTTTTTCTTTCAGTATCGATATAGTTTTTCACTTTGATGTGAAAATAGGTCAGTGGCAAATTTACTCACCGAGAGGCCTTTTCTTCTTGTTTAATATTCCAATTTCAGCTATTTAAAACAACCTTCACCTAAATATGCCACCTTTAAAATCTGTAGAGGACAAGTTCTAGCAATCAAAATACCTTTGATTCCATCACGTACTTCTACAAATACTATCATTTTACAATATTTTAAATGTTGTTACTTCGGTGAAATTTTACAAAGGGCACTTCACGATTTCGCACAAACTGTTTATGCAAAACTCTTGTACATTCATCACCTCCTGATCACGTTCCTCACCTTCAAAAGTTGTGGAAATGCTTCCTTGTGTCACAAAAAAATATTCAGTGTTCGCCCCTTTCGCCCTATGGTTTGCACCCTATTAGTTGCGCCACATGTAGGCAACCAACTACACACATAGTTGAATTCGCACGAATTCCAATGACAATGATCCACGGAGCAAGAAGTGCCACGTTTAGGGGTATGTTTGCAATGGGGCGCAGGGCGCGAAGCGCCCTGCCTTCACTAAATACCCCACGTTACATGTACGCGTGTTGTTGACTATAAAAAGTTAGGTTATGTTGGAAACGGCTTCCCATTGAAGAGTGTGGGAAATTTAACAATTTTTTGTGGCAAAAGTAAGCATTTCTACAACATTTGAAGGTGAGGAACGTGTTCAGGGGGTGCTGCAGAAGAGTTGTGTGCAAACAGTTTGTGCGAAATCGTGAAGTGCCCTTTGTAAAATTTTACCTTTTTATATTATTATGACTATTCTTGATTGTGCATGATGATTGGTTAATTTAGGTGACAGTTATAATTCAAATCTTCGACTCTGACCGACTGAATTGTGACAAATGACATATGACAGTTGTCTGTGATTGACATTGGCAGCACAAAACACTAGTAACAGTGAGAACATCAACATCAACACATAAGACGGCTAGGCTTAAATTTCATTGGTTGATTCAGCGGCGGCAAAAAATTTTTGCAGCCTAAGCAGAAATTTTTTTTCCTGTCAAGGCAGTGAAGGGAGACTTTGTATTTATCAATTGAGGTATGCAATGACCCGTATTTCTGACGTTTGAAGAAAAAAATATTTAACAAATTATCAGGAACTCGTTGAATGCATTCATTTCCGTAGCAACAAGGTAAAAAATTTGTTTACACATGAAGTCTTCTAAAAAGTAGTTATTCAAAGTGAAAAATGAGTGTTTCAAGTCATATAACTAGAAGGCAATAGAAGAAGCTGCCAATATTGTTTGCGCATCTCTGTTACCTGAAAAATCGTAATTACGTTATAATGAAACTTACAAAGCATTTTCAATTTGGTATACATTACGAAACATTCAAGATGTTAATGAAACCGTAATGCTTGGTTATTTTAAGGAAAGATCCAAAGCCCGTAAGTCTCCTAGCAGTTTATGGTGTGAATATTCAATGCTGAAAGTAATGTCGTGTCAGTTATTGTGTTGTTACCTCAATTATAAAAGAAAATGTTGGAGGCTCATGCAATTGATGAAAATATGACAGTTACTAATTTTGAAATAACTTCAAAGAATAATCCTGTAATAAATATTACTGAGTGTAGTGTTACAGTTAATAAGTTAATATTAATAAATAATTATAAAAGAAACTTCAACTATTGCTGTAAAATGACATTATTGACATTTCTTTGACATTCTACTACTTCCATTACTTTTTTGTCCTGGCAGCGTAAGTAACACTTACGCCCTTAGTAACCTACTTACAGAGCTAGCAACGAGGTTGCCCTATTTACTTCACTTACGTTTACGTCAGTGTCACTGGAGCAATAAGATTCATTTACGCTATCATCGGTAGCAGAAAAAAGTATTTGAACTCTATCCTCTGAAGTATTAATAAAATTTCCATCAACATTTGTTTTGGAGATACAATGCCAACTTGATTTTTTACAAATGGGATGAGGGGTCAAATTTAATATTAAAAGAAAAACTTTTTTTCTGCATTCATAAATGTAACACATGTCTTTATTTATTTGCAATAAAAGTCAGTACTTTTTACACCCTTAAGGGTTGAATCTCGGAAAAGCCTCAAATACGTGTTTCATTATTTGTTTTGAAGACAATTAATACCCAGTTTCACGTAAAAAGTTAAATTTACAATAGAAATATTTTTCCCACACAAATATAGCCACCACTTTTCACCCTCTTAGGGGTTGAATCGCGGAAAATCCTTAAACAGGTGTTTCGTTATTTGTGTTGAAGAGCATTAAGGTTCCTCGCAGTCATAAAAAGATGCCAAAATAAGGCAAAACGCCGACCGATGTTGCGCCTTCAGTTTAATATCCCCAGTAACATTTTATATGTAATAAATATTGAAGTTCTGACATTTAAATAATATGGGTAACGACAGATTTTTTTTTAGAAAATCAATATTGGTTTTAAATATTGAATATATATTTATTTTCAATGTTTAATACTTATTTAGTTCAGAACATTTAATAAATGTTCTTCATATGAAAGGGGGCATGGATATAAAAAAAACTTGTATGGACTACAATATAAACATTATTATCAGTCTGAAACTAGCTTATAAATACTAGGAGTTAATAATAATAATAATAAATGCTTACCAATTCATCCAAT